GTCATTTTCTTTATTATTTATTTTCATTTTTAATTCAGTGATTTTAACTTTTAATTTAGTTATTTTAATGCTTTAAAGAGCCATTTTAGATTGTAATGTTCTAATGTTCTGCTATCTGTTCTGCAAACTATAAAAGGTACAGCTGTCATAAAACCAGAGAGAAAGGCTGCATGGCTAGAAACTGTAAAAAAAAAAAGAAAAAAAAAGAAGTGAAATAATAGTATGTGAGAGAGTAGTAATATCATTGGGTTCCTATTGGTCAGTGTTAGAGGAACTCCGCTTAGTCTGACAGTTAACCTGCTTTAGACCAGCTTGATCTAGGCCCATGTTAAATTTGCTATATAGAACTAAATAATTTGACAATGAGTCAGACTAACTGAAATAAGCCTTATGAAACAGGCCTCGAGGCATTAAAAGTGATCATATGTTCTCCATTGCATGGTATTGCATCTAATTGCATTGTTTTGAATCGAATCGAATCGAAATCGGATCGCACTGCATCGTAACGGGTTAATCGTACCGAATTGTATCGCATCGGTAGCTGGACAAAATCCACTGGAATTTGAGCAGTGAGTGGAGTCTAACTTCAATGCCTCTGATTGGCCATTGCATTCATGACATTAAACAGATATGTCTGTGATTGGTTACATTACTCAAGGCAAAACACACTGGAAATAGAAAACTTTGACACTCCCCAGAGCGCAAACACAAATGTGTGCACTACTCATTGGCAAATCTGTTTCACCAATATGTTATTGTGACGGCTTCAACTGAAACTGCTTACCTCTATCACTTCCGTAAAACTAGGCCTGCTAGAAGGATTGCTTCGCTGTGAAAATTCTGCCTGAAAAGGTGTTATACTGCAGAAATCATAGTCTGAGAATAAAGAAACTGTTTTTATCTTAATAATGATCTAGTGATACGCACTTGATTCAGAAGATGGCTTAGAAACACACTGCCGGGCCTATTCCACATCTACTGTTGCCGCACATGCACAATGACCATAAAATTTGCACAAATGAGTGAGAATTGATATTTCCTGCTTCTAGCTGCCTTTTTAGTATATATATTGTTTGTTTGTTTATTTCTTTCTTAACACCAATCCAGCATCTATGGCTATATTCATGGCGAGAACCAGTTAATCCATACACAAGTCGATCCATACACAAGTCTTGTCTTTACACACACATCCGGGGACAGTTTAGAATGTTCAGTTAACCTAACCTGCATGTCTTTGGGTGGAAACTGGAGCACCTGGCGTAAACCCACGCAGACAAAGGAAGAACATGCAAACTCCACACAGAAAGGCCTCCTGTCCTTGCCGGGGCTCGAACCGGGGCCATGTATATATATATATATATACATGTCTGAATAAACACAAAACTCATCATCGTTGTCATCTGTGTTACTCTGTGTCACCTGTGTGTAAATCTGCATTTTTTTCTGTTTCCAGCGAAATGTTTCCGTTTTGAATCGTTGTTACCGAGACACATGAGGAAAAAATAAACGATCAGTTGTGGGACTATATTCTGTCATAAATCGCATACCATTAATTGCTGAACTTTCTACTGTCCGTTACTGGAAATTAAATTAAATTACTGGTTGATATGTCCCGATCTAAATAAAGTTTACACACGCCTTTGGTCCGTGAATTAGATCTCGTTCAGGACGCGCGCTGTCTGTGGAGGTTTGGCCAGGACCGGTTCCAGAAATAAATCAACATATTTAATGTCCATGTATATATATATATATATACATGTCTGAATAAACACAAAACTCATCATCGTTGTCATCTGTGTTACTCTGTGTCACCTGTGTGTAAATCTGCATTTTTTTCTGTTTCCAGCATTCCTTACTACTCTAATGCTTGGTTCAGATGATGATGTATGGACTGGATTGAATGATGTCAATTGGGAGATGAGATTTTTGTGGACCGATGGTAAAGGTGTCACCTACATAAACTGGGCCAAGGGTCACCCTTCATCACACCCAGAAGGGCCTTCCAGGATGTATGGCTACTTTGAATCAGAGGCAAGTATTCACACCATATTGCTGACAAATGCTATTCAGTGTCTATAAAGATTACCACAATCATCAGCTTCTCATTTGAGATGAGATGTTTATGCTGAACTTATAAAATATTTACTGTTCACACTAGTGTTAGAAATCCACAGATATGTCTGTGATTGGTTACATTGCTCTACGCTGCAAAAACACTTTGAGGGTATTTAGCGCTTGGCTAAGTGCTCCAATTGACCAATCGGTAAGCTCCTCCCCTCGAACGCAGATGAGCCAATGGCAGTCGAAAATCAGTTGCATGGGGAGCGAAACTTGGTCATCTTTAGGTTTCAGCGCCATAGAGAAACATTGGGAGATCCTAAGCTCGCATCGGTTTAATGGTGTTTATGCTACAAAAATGGAAAAACGATGTGCCTAGTGTACCTGTAACACTAATTCCAGTTATCCTGAGAGGATAGGCAATGTAATTTATTTTATTCCATTTCCTAAATCCAACCAAAACAGAGCAAAATGTCC